GCTGGCACTGAAGGACAGCAGCACTCCAGAGCCTCAGGCAAAGCACATTCCAAGCACTGCATGGAGATGCCACTCACTGAACCTGGGATTGAACCTGGAACCTCCTGCAGGTGAAGCAGGTGCTCTCCTGCAAAACTACAGCATTTCCCTTAAAAACAACAGTGAGATTTCAGTCCTCAGGGTTCTGAAGAAAGGGCTGGTTTAAATAGGGATGGAGGAAGCTGCTTCACTCACCCACCTAGATCAGTACTGTCTATTTCAAATCTGAAATTGCATCACAATGCAGTTTGTCTTGCCTGGATTTGGGAATGGCTAACGTTAAAAAACACCGACTTGCTGGATCTAGAAGGATTCAATAACAGATACGGCTGGCATGCCCATCTGGGATATGAGAAGGTCCACAAAGGGTTTTTGAACCACGTGATCAGGAAATTGCTTTACATGGTGTGGGCCAAATATAAGGACTTACTAGAACCAAAAACGCCATGGTGGCTGTCCCCGGCAGAAGCGTTCTCAGTTTAAAAAAAACAGCATGAGAGAAGTAATTGGGCAACTTATAAAGACTTATTGGAAGAAAAAGAAAATAAGCTAAAATTAAAGAATTTTGAAGCAATTCGGACACATTTGAATGATTGGTTGCAGTATTTTCAGTTAAATGAAACATTCCAAAAGGACAAACAGAAAGGCTTTTCCACAGAAATTTCAAGATTTCCACGTACCTACGGGACCGCCTCTCCTGGTATGCACCATGGAGGACCTTAAGGTCCACAAATGACAACATTTTGGAGGTCCCAAGTCGCAAGGTGGTTAGATTGGTCTCAACTAGGGCCAGGGCCTTTTCAGTACTGGCCCCGACTTGGTGGAATGCTCTGTCACAAGAAACTAGGGCCCTGCGGGACTTGACATCTTTCCGTAGGGTCTGCAAGACAGAGTTGTTTTGCCTGGCCTTTGGTTTGGTCTCAGTCTGACCCTTACGTTTCCCTCCCCTTACGATTTTGATCTATGGGCTACTTTTAAAATGAGGCTGCATTTTAAATTGCATTTTAACCTGCATTTTAAATTGGCCGGTCGCCCCCCCCCCCCATTATGTTTTTATTGTAATTTTACTGGTGTTAGGTGCCCTGAGCCCGGCTCTGGCCAGGGAGGGTGGGGTACAAATATTTTTTTAAAATTTTTATTATTACTGTTTAATAAACACACACACACACACACACACACACACACACACACAAATGGACTTCTGGGGGAGGCGCCTTCAGCAATGGCAGAATTCCTCTGACCGGGAGGAATCTGCTCCGTGGAAATCTGGGTCTGGGTTTTTGGGGCTCCGGAGCGACGTGGGGTGAGCGGCGCGGTGCATCGAATCGTCTGCTTCTTCCACGGAGCAAAGCCGCATAGCTGTTGCCGGAGAGCGCTGACCTTTTCCTGTGGACAATTTGACTTTAAAGTAATTTCCGTGAGTAGAGCTGAAACGGAAGAATTGGATCTCTAAAAGTTTAATTTGGTATCGTGACGGGGAGGTTCAAAACAAGAAGTCCGCCTTCCCTTTTTGTAAATAGACTGAGGCAACGAAGTTGCAAGCTGGAGTCCTGGAAGGTCTTTTGTAAAAGATCAAATTTCCAACGGTAAAGAACATTAAACTGTTGAGCAGATTGATTTATTGCTCAGATAAGCGTCCGGCACGCTTCCCATCGCGCAGCTCTTCCTGGCCAGGCCTCTGCATTCCAAAGTCCACATTCCTGAGCAAAGCAGAGATCAACAGCGGCAAGAGAAAGACTGCAAAAAACTCCAGAGCATTCTTCAGTGTGCTTAAATAAAGTCCACTCAGGATCTTAGCAGCTAAAAGCAGTTTTATTTACAGCAGACTATCCATTATCTATCACAGCAAACAGCATCGTGAAAACACGTCCTCTCTCCTCAAAAGCGAAAGTAGAGAGAAAGAACAAAGGCTTGAGGCTCTCGGAAATGACGAACCTCCCCCCTCCCAACAGTAGGCAGGGCGTACACTCTGAGCTGTTTAACCCTGTAAGCTCAGGTTCTCCTCACATAAACCCCTCTTGGAGGCAGGAGAAGAGAGGGGAAGTTGCGGATTGAGTATGCCTGCGGGAGAGAGCGAAGAGGCTTAAAACACCGCCGCTCTGACCCTGGAAACGGGCTGCTAGTAAGACTGATGGGGTTTTTTTGTGTGTTTTTTTGGAATGTTCATTGACAGCGCTTAGAACGTTCATTGACAGCTAGGTAAATAAGAGAAATGCATTGTTTCTACTGTTTCCGGTGGTTTTTAAAAAAGGAGGAAAGTAACTGAAAATTGAAACTAACTTCGGATTATTGAAACTGTGTTTAAAAGAGGACATATTGACCGATACAAATACAACCTGTTTTCCCCTAGTGGAAGCTTTTGAAATTGGTTACTTTATAGGAGCTGGGCTAGGGAATTTCCAGCTGCAAGATAAGAAAAGTGTGAGACTTTGGAATTGACCTTGAATCTCTTAAGTGTTATGGCAAACGGAAAGGAAAAACAGACGGGATGTCGACAGAGGAGGCCTTAGTGGCTGCATTATTGAAAATAAACGATTCGCTGGAACAACTCCATAAGAAAACAGATGCGATAAATGTGAAATTGGATGTTGCAAATATTGAAACTGATTTAATTGTAGAAAGTTTAAATAATTTGGGACAAAAGGTGAATACCAATTCAGAAACCACCCAGAAACTGATACAGGAATCTACTTTGATACGGCAAACTGCAGATGAAGTCAGGGAAAAAACCCTTGCTGCTGAATCTAAAGTAATACAACTGGAGAGGAGAGTCCCATCCATACAAAGACAACTTGATGAACATAAGCTGGCATTCGTTACGATTGAACTTAAAGAAGAACGGATGAATTTGAGGACCAGAGCCCGATCTGAATTGGAAAAGGAAAGCCTGACAGAGTTTCAGGAGGCGACAGGACTAACATTGGTTGAGAAAGAGAGGTATTTGGGGGTTAGTATGACCGCCAAAAATGTGAATCTGCTTAAGGACAACTGTGAAGGATGTTGGATTGAAGAGAAGGGGGATTTGGAAATATGGACAAATCAGAAGTTGTTACTGTTGGGTCGAGTTATTGTGGTGGGGATGAGGGCTGCTGTGTTGCTGGGGATGTTGCTTTTGTTTCAAACATTGCAAGCTCTGGATGGGATGGAGGGTCTCAGGAGGTGGCAGAGGGATGCTCCTAGAGTTGTTTGGCAGGGCAGGAAGCCTCGAGTTAAGCTTAAGATATTGATGGATGCTAAAGAAGGAGGTGGACCTGCCCTGCCAGACCTTTAAACTTCGTTGTGAACCATCTGCCTTTTGCTGGTTGAGAGAATGGTTGCTTCTTGAAAACACTGAAGTGTTGGACAATGGCAGACGAAGTTGATGGACTATAGGGAATTGGCGGAAATGACTGGCAAGATCCGAGACCAGGGTGAAGAGTCGGTGGAAGAAGATTGGAAAAAGTTTAAAGACTATTTATAGAAATATTGTAAAATTAAGGAATGTTAGAAAAATGTTGGAATGAAATTACATGGCTTTAGTAGAAATGTCATAAGGAATCAAGTATAAATAGATTAATAGAAAATTAAAGGAAAAGTATGGCAAGAATGTGTTAAGATAATTATAGAACAGAAAACAGAGTAAGATGGAAAGGAATTGCTGAAACAAATAATAGAAGTGGAATACAAAAAGGGAGGTGTGAGGAAGTCGCTGGAAATAAGTGAATGAAATATAAGATATTGAAAATGTTTGAGATGTTTTTAAATTGTTTTTGTTTGTTTTTGCTTGATTTGTTAGTCTATGTAGCGTTTTTGTATTGTATTCGTATTTTTTTTCTTTTTTTTCTTTTTATTTGTAGTGTTGTGTTGGAAATTTTGAAAAAGTAATAAATATCATTTTAAAAAAATAAAAATAAATAAACACACACACACACAAACAAACGCTCTCTAACATGTACAGGTGCCTCCTTGACTGGGAGGTCAGGGAGGAAGAAGTAAAATCTGTCATGGTATAATGGGCCAGAGATTTTGGGCACAACATCCAGATGGAATCATGGGAGAGGTTGTGGAAGGAGGACCTAAAATTCACAGTGTGCTACGATTTGAAAGAGAATTTCATGAAGATGCTCTACAGATGGTACTTAACACCTGTAAAACTGCCCAAAATGTATAAATCTAGATCAAACATCTGTTGGAGATGCAAGGAGGTGGAAGGCACCATGATCCACGTGTGGTGGAACGGCAAAAATATCAGGGAATTTTGGGAAACAATCTACAATGAACTTAAAAATTGTTTAAATGTTCCTTCCCAAAGAGGCCCGAAGCCTTCTTGCTAGACATAATGAGCAATGAAATCCCTAAACAGGTAAGGGAAATCTTTATGTATGCGGTAACAGCAGCTAGGATTCTAATTGCTAAGGTATGGAAAGGAGATTCTATTCCCTCAAAATTAGACTGGCAAAATAAAATGCTAGAATATGCAGAACTAGCAAGATTCTGAGACCATACAGATCAAGTATTTAATAAAGAGTGGAATATCTACAGAGAATATTTAAACAAACATTGTAATAACATAAATTCTTTGGCAGGCCTGGATTGATTTCTGCATGAATTAAGAAATCATTACAGAATTAAAATAACAGAAGAACTTAGGAGAGAAAAAGTTAAGTGCGCAGCGTCATGAAATTTAGGAACCACAGTGGGGGGGACCGGAAGTTACATTAGAATTAGCGATGGATGAACTTAATCTTTTCTTTTTCGGTATGTACGTATGGTGTAGGGAGTATTAATTACTGGATTGCCCTTTGTGGCTTGATGCATCTTGTTTTGTTTTGTTTTGTATTTGTTTTGTAATGTTATGTTTTTAAAATTAATAAAGCATGGGGGGGTTCTTAAAAAAAGGATCAGTACTGTCTACACGTACTGGCAGCCATGGCTCTCCACAGCAGGAGATATTTAGCCCCCTCCCAGGCCTACCTACCTGGAGATGCTGCTGAGGATTGAACCCAGGACCTCCTGCACGCAAAGCGGAAGCTCTTCCACTGAGCTATTGCCCTCCCCCGGGAGCCTTTTTGCAAATCTGCTTTTCCTCGAGATCCCTTCCTAGAACCTTCTCTGGAGAAGTGGCTGTTAGAATTCCTGATCTATGATTGCAGTCATGGGATTGTTTATCACATGACGGTATATGTTTTGACTCCACAGAGTGGGAAGTGACGGCGGCAGGATGTTTGTGTCACTGTGTTCCATGAAGTGGGACTATTGTCCTTTGTTCTTTTTCTCTTTGCTGTCTGATGCTAGAGAGGGAGGGAGCCATGTTGCAGTGCTCCGTGTGTGTTTATACTGTATGTAAATAAAGTACAGTGGTACCTCGGGTTACATACGCTTCAGGTTGCATACTCCGCTAACCCAGAAATATTACCTCGGGTTAAGAACTTTGCTTCAGGATGAGAACAGAAATCGTGCTCTGGCAGCGCGGTGGCAGCAGGAGGCCCCATTAGCTAAAGTGGTGCTTCAGGTTAAGAACAGTTCCAGGTTAAGAACGGACCTCCAGAACAAATTAAGTACTTAACCCAAGGTACCACTGTAGATTAGCCAAAATGCTGAGTTCCTGAGGTCTGCAAAGACTCTGCGGATCCCTAAGTGTGCCAGTGTCGGTTGGCATCGGCCGCTGTGATGTTCGGGCTGAAGAAAGCTTATGAAGCTCCCGAACAAAAGACCAGGAGGGGGAGAACATACCAGTCAGGCATGTGTCTCTGCCAGGGTCCTACTCGAGTGTAGGCTGAACTCCTGACAGTGGCAAGCTCTCATTTTGTAGACTCTCAAGGCATCCAGCAGCAATGTTGGAGATGGGGGCACCATGAGGGGCAGCCCTCCTTCAGGGCCCAGATTCGCTGTCAAAAGGCCCTCAAGTGTCCGCCAATGTCTCAAGAGACATCTCCTTCCCCCAGGGGTCTTGCAGACAACTGTGGACAGCCTGGCTTCAGTGGCACCTCACCCTAAGGCTTGCACACAGTTCCCAGGGGATACAACCGAGCCTAACCACCTGTAACTGAAAACAACAACAACATATTGCTTCCTGCTGCATCCCACCTGGGTAGAATTTTAGGCTGCAGGGTCCTTGGGGCAGGGACCTGCCCTTGTGTCCTCTGTAAAGCAGTTCTGGAAGGCCTGGTGCCCTCCAAACATTGCTGGACACACCGCTCCCATAGTCCCTGACCAGGCTGGCCACGGCTGATGGCAGTTAGAGGACTGCATGGCTCCCATCCCTATAAAAACACTCAGGACATGCTTCTCTCAGCCGTGCCAAGTTCTGGATCCAGCCCAACTAAAGGCCAACAAGGCCTTCCCAAAAGGTTGTGGTCCAACGACATCTGGGGACCCACAGGTGGAGAACCGGCTGGAAAGAGCAGGAGGGGAGAGGGCACTCTCTGGCGCTTGGGCCCTGCTTGTGGGTTTCCCATAATGGGCATCTCACTGGCCACTGCGAGAACAGAACGCAGGGCGGGGAGGGCCACTGGTCCCATCCTGCCTCAGGGCTCTTTTGACATTCCCCTGACCTGGGCCTTGTGCTTAGCAGTTGAAGTGCTGACTGCCCCCTTCATTTCTGAGTCACTGCTGGGATAATCAGGCACGCAATTATGGAATCTCTTCATCTGCATAACATTACAGTCATACCTCTTGTTACATTCGGTTCAGGTTACGTTCTTTCAGGATACGTACCACGGCGACCAGGAAATAACGGAATGGGTTACTTCTGCGTTTTGCCGCTCGTGCATGCGCATGCGCAGACACTCAAAATGACGTCACGCGCATACGCAGACGTGGCGACCTGCGCACGCGCAGACACAGGTTGTATTCTGCTCAGGTTGTGAACGGGGCTCCGGAACGGATCCCATTTGCAACCAGAGGTACCACTGTATTGTGATTTTCATTTTCAGGAGAAAGAGGGGGTGGGACATGCAGTCCTCACACTCACACACCCTAGAAGTTACGCTGCTAAAGCCTTCTCTTCCCTACCATCCCCCCCCACACACACACTTTGAGTGTGAGGAGAATCAGAACTTACAGGGTTAAACAGTTCTGTGTGACGTCTCACATTCTGAGGCGTAGTTTGGTTCACATACGGGAATCTTTCTTTGTGTGTGAGTTTCCTTTCGGTTTTGGCTGAGAGGCGAGAAGGATGTCTGCTCTCTCGCCGGGACTGATTTATGATGTTTTTCTTCTCATTAAAGCCTGTTAGAGATTAGCAAGAAGCCTGCGTTCAGTTTGATTTATTATCCACACACAAGGCAACATTTTCTACCACTGCTAAAGAACTCTGCTAAGAGCTTCAAAGAGCTCACGTTTTCTATCGGCACGAGCGTCCAAAGGCACAGGGGAAGTGTGCCGGGCGCCATCTTATCTCACATTGAGGTGGCACAAAAATAGAGGGTTCATCTTGATCAACTCACCTGGTTTGGAGAAGAAACCCTATTCACGATTTAATTGAATATTTGAATAATCTTTTCATTCCTGTAAGGCATAAAGAATGTTGTCCAAATAACATTGACACACTCCACTGAGAGAGAGCGGCCACAAAGACTCCGTCCTGCGACAAAAGCTGCCTCACACACAGGCAGAGCTGCCGGGACCATTTCTATGCCCTTAAGAGTTCTTTGCATTCAGTGCCGCTTTTGTCTGCTGAAGGCGTCAGATAAATTGCAATCGCTTAAGGGAATGCAGGCGCACAAAAGCCGCTCTTGCTCCATGTTAAATAGTGGGGAAGATGGATGAAGGACACAGCTCTGTTAGATTCTCAGCTCTTTATTACAGCAGTTAGAACTGCTCCTGGAGTCAGACTGACTGCAGCCTAGCTGGCTGCTTTATATAATACTAAGTAACTTGTAACAGTAACAACTCCCAACTAGCTAACCAGTCAGTGAGCGACAGTTCTCAGTCCTTCATTTGCATACTGGTGGCCCTGAGTGAGAACTGCAGTCATACCTCGGGTTACAGACACTTCAGGTTGTGTTTTTGGGGTTGCGGACCGCCGAACCCGGAAGTACCAGAACGGGTTATTTCCGGGTTTCGCCGCTCATGCATGCAGAGACGCTCAAAATGACGTCACGTGCATGTGCAGAAGCGGCGAATGCGACCCACGCGTGTGCAGACACGCAGGCGCAGGTTGCGTTCTGCTCATGTTGCGAACGGGGCTCCGGAACGGGTCATACACCCGGCGGAGCGGGGCCACCAAAGTGGAGTTAGGCAATGCAGGGTACAATCCTAGGGGTATGGATCCTTCGGGTTTATTTGTCTCTTTATGTTTAGCTGCCCTGTCCCATGCGGTTCTTAAAGCCTTCTGCTTCTTCTGCCAATCCTCATCCTTGCACTCTGCTGCCCTCAGAACCCAAGGAGCTACATCCACTTTTGTGTTATATGGTTCGATATACTGAAATAACCTTTCGGACTGCTTGTTTGTCCACTTCGCCTCCTTATCTAAGTTCTTTCTGAATTCATCACACTCAACATCACCTTCCTCCTCGCTTTCCTCCTCATCCTCTTTTCTTGGGGGTTGGGGAGAGGTAGCGGAATCCTTATTTGGATCCTCAGCCTGGGCACGGGGCGAAGGACCAGTCCCCGCAACCCCATCCGCTCCCAGATCTGGCAACCCTGGTGCAGTTGGTGCGTAGGGTGGAGGGGGCCAAATTACTCCACCCTCCTCTTCTTCTGCAGCTGGCAGGACCAGTGGCAGCAGGGGCTTTATTGCTGGTTGTACTACTTGCTTCTGTACTGAGCACAACTTGGCTTGGGAGGGTATATTTCACATTCCTCAGCAATAGGGATTTTGGTCCACATTGGTTTTCCAGATGGAAATATAGGGAATTTGATCTGCCTGGACAATGAGGATGTTGCGCCATAGGGGGTCGACTAGATTTTCATCAAAGGTCCCTTCACTGGGCCACCCAGTCCCTTGGGACGGCCAGTCAACTTCACATAGGGTTCAGAGTCTTTCTTTCTTCAATTTAAACCCCCAATCATCTCCCTTTGTGGCGTCCTTCCAATTGTCCAGAAAGCACTGCAAGGGGTCGATTTACTGCTCCCCCATGACTCGGGACACTCTGTTCACCTAATGTGGTTTCTCATTCAGTCACCTTTCTCCGCGTCCTGTCAGTGGCCTGGACGGACTCGCTGTTGGGATACTGCCAGGGAGACATAGGCCATCATGGTTCCACGTCGCCTCCGGATGATCCATCAATCTCCCGTAGATACAGTATCAGTCAATTAGCGACACGAAGCCTCGGAAATAGCTTGCCACATTCCAGAGCGCGTGCACGCTCTATCAGCAGAGTTCGTACAGCGAAAGACGCACTCAGGAGAGCATATTTACAACTTTTATTCAGCGTTGATCAGAACAAAGAAAAAAAAACCTGACTGCCTGCTTCGATGTCTCAGGCACAGAGAGAAAATGAAAGCATATACAAAAGCATAAGCTTCCTGTGAACAGGAAATACGCAGGCTGTGACACAACAACCTGCTCCCTTTTGAAGGTGGAACGGAAATATCCTATCATCCTCCCCCTTTCCGTGTAACCTGTAGTACCTGTGGTTCAACCCAATTGCAACCTCTGTACATAAACCTTAAGTTGTTCTCTGTTAACAACCTTAGACCAGCAGGAATTTCATTTCCTGCCATGTAGGACACCTGAATGAGTCCTTTCTGAATACACTCTCTTGCACGATGTAGCTTAATCTGCAAGTACTTGGTTCTTTGCTTGCAACTCTCTGAGTTCAGCAAAGCCAAACAGGATCTATTGTCTTGATACACCTGTATAGGACATTTCACAGAAACTCTGATGTCCTTAAACAGGTGCATCAACCATTCACAATCCATGAGTGAAAATGACAGAGCATTGAGTTCTGCTTCACAGGAACTTAGGCTTACTGTCGTCTGCTTTTGCACAACCAGTCAAACAGGCAATGGTTGTACATGTAGCATACCCAGAAGTGCTTGTACCATCCGTGGTGTCACTTCCAAAACTAGCATCTGCAAAGATTTCAAGACCTCCAGTCTTCTGA